GAAAAAAAAAAAAACCGAAAAAGTCAACGCCGGAGACCGGTGTTGACCGCCGGTCAACGCCAGAAACCGGCGAAAAAATCCGGAAGAAGAACAAAAAAAAAAAAAAAAAAAATTGAAAAGTCAACGCCGGAATCCGGCCGAAAAAAAATTTTTTGAAAAAAAAAATTTGGAAAAAAAATATTTGGGGTCAAAATTGAATAATTTGTGAAATTTGGGGTTAAATTAAGTTAATGATGAAATTGGAGCATATTAAAAATTGGGTATAAAGGGTTGACGGATTGGGATATACATGAATGTTTCCTTTATTTATAATAAATATTAAAAGGGTGGGCTTATTGGTAAAAGAGATATAACCCCTAAACCTAGAATAATAAAGGTGTATGGTTGGGGAATTTATCACAAAAACCCCTTAATTATATTATAAGTACAAATAATAAAAGAAGCAACCCGTATTATTATTACATCATCTTGAGTCTTGACTGAATCAAAACTAATGGCATAATTCCTATGTGTCATGACTCATGAGAATCTCTATTCCAAAAATAAATAAATAAAAACGGTTAATTCCATTCATTCTCCATTCCATGGTAGTCTAAATGAACAATTTATTTTATATATTATTTATTTGTTAATTGAAATATTGTATGTATAAGTATATGTGATGTAGCGTGTGCATTTTATTTTGTTACGTGATATCGATATGTAATGTCAATTGTCCTCAATGGTTGTACGCCAAACTAAATTTAGGGAATACGATGCTACACCCGGTGATTTTCACCGGGTGGTTCTTTTCTTGACATGTGTCCTTTTTTATTTATTTTATAATTATAATTCTAAAACCCATTGGGCCATAACTGAACCCGTAGTGGGAATTTTATTAATTATGGTGCCTCGTTATATTCACCAGGTGTAGCATAGAATTTCCCCTAAATTTACTACTTTATTTAGGTGCAATTTGTTAAGGGATAATTAGCAATACCCCCCTCATCTAGGTAAATGAGTTAAGAAAAACCCCCCTCCCAAAAATAATTAGAGAAAACCCCCTTACCTAATATTTTACCCAAATATTATTTAATAATTCTCAAACCACCCTTTCTCACTCTTATCTCTTCTCTCTCTTTCTCTCTCTCTCTCTCTCCTCTTTCTCTCGCACACATAAAAACACACACACACACACACACACACACAAATTCGTACGGCAGGGTATCGATCATGGCCTTGCCGTCGCATTAGTTGACGGAGCACGACGAGCCCTTGGCGGCGGCGGCGCCCATTAGGGGGTGGTGGGAATTGGCGTCGGAGGAGGAGTCGATGACTTTGTCCATGAGGTGGGCGCGGGTGATGCTGTTGAAGCCGCCGGTGAAGAGGGAGTTGGAGACGAACTGCTCCTCCACTTTTTGGGCGGAGCCGGGGTTGTTGCCGGTGGTGTTGTTGTTGGGCTGGTTGTCAGGTGTGGGCGGCATCTGGACAGTGTAGTTGAGGAAGTTCGTTGCTGCCGAGTT